CAATTCCGACCGGTAAAATCATCGCAGAATATACTCAAATCGTGTACAATATTCATATATATAACATTCTAAAAGTTGTGCGGTGAAAGTTGTGTCAATACCAAATTAGGTCAATTTTTCGATAAAAAAAACACAAATCCGTACACAACACGATCAAAACACAATATTTTTTAAAACAGAAATAGGATTCAGCGTCCTTACCACGAGATCTACACTTTTCCCAACAGCGACGTCGGACGAAAAGCGCTCCGCGGCCTCCGAAAACCAGCTTCCCTTCTCTTTTCCTTTCTCTATCTCTCTCTTCAAAATCAGATATTTTATAAAAATGATTTTCTCTCTCCTCAAAACGAGCTGATTTGCTTATAACATTAGTCTGATCGTCCTGGCCGATCGCGACATCGTCCAGGACGATGTGACCAATTTCCAATCGTACTGGACGATTTTGCAGGACGATACATGATGATAATTAATTTGCCAAAACCCCTTGCTCTCGGGATTTTGCCATACACTGATCGTCCCAGGACGATTTTAGTCCAGAAATCATTCCAGAAACACTCCAGAAATCAGCTGTTTTCAATGCACTGATCGTCCTGGACGATCTCAACATCGTCCTGGACGATCCTGGGAGGAAAATCCAATTCAGAGAGGAACAGTAAGGGAACGAGGTCTCACACATCTTGTATGGTTGTACAGGTTAATCAGTCTCCAACCAACATGTCAACCAATCTTTACTTATCTTTACACACACATTATTATCACAATACTATTACATTAATCTTAATTATATACCCACATTCATTTTTAATGCATTGCAACAAATAAAATATAATGTAGCTTAATTCAGAAAGTGTCAATGTGTCTTAACGGTATGCAACAAAAAGCCCTACTAAGCAAAATCTCATATTTTTAAAAATTTATCAAATTATCATATATTGCATAAAATATCATTTTGAAGCTTTAATTGAACTGAAGCACTATTTTTAGATGATAAAATAAAATTTTGAGTAGATAAAAATCATTATTTTTCAAAATCACCTAGAAAAAAAATCTCAATCTCTATAACATTTAAAAAGTTATGCCGTGAAAGTTTTACCAATATAAAATTATCTTCATTTTTCGGCAACAGAAGCACAAATTTGATCAGAAAAATATAAAAAATACAATATCCTTGAAATCAGAAATATGGTAATGATTACTTACAATGAGACGAGCAAATTTCCCAAAAGGAAGGACATACGAAAATCGCTCTTAAGGCCTCCAAATGTATACTTCCCTCTTCCTGCCCTTCTCTTTTCCCTTAAATTTCTTTTCGTTGTTCTCTATTTATCCGAATAGTGGAGAATGAAATGCCTTAAGCAATTTAATATAAGTGGATTATGATATTTATAATTATATAATTTATTTAATTTTTAATTTAAAATTCATATAAATTCTTTTGAGGCTTTAAAAATTATAGATAAATATCTATAAAATAAATCATTTTATTTAAAAAAATATTAATAAAACCAGTTTGTAAAATGGATACCTGACGGTCCAAAGAATCCCCACTTATACCGACATATGTCAATTTCTCAAGTATTTTCACCGGTATCCCAAAATTATGAAAAATTTGTGTAAGTATATAACTACAATATCTATGTTGCGGCTAAGATGGTTTTTGATTTGAACTTGTATTGGCTGTGGAAAAAAATTTATTTAATTGGGTTAAAATAAGAGTTATTATAAGGAAGTAGGTGAAAAAGGTTAGGAGAGGAAGGGAGGTTGAACTGAATGTAAATTTATTTAAAGTAAATTCTTTTAAGAATTTTTGTAGCTTGAATATTATTATTAGAATTATGTATAAATTGTAAAATTTATGCTTTAGGTTGTATACAAAAAAAAAAAAAACAAAAAGAGGTTGAGATATTTTAGGTGAACAACTTTACCTGACTATCTTATAAAATAAATTGATATACTCAAACTTTGGTTTATGAAATAGTAACATTCTTATGTAATTCTGACAATATTTTTTATATGATTGGGACAACCTTAATTTCAATTTCATCATGTATTTATTTACTAGTTCATTAGCTAAGTTATCGAATATTTATGTGCACGTTATGAAAAATATGAAGCTTCATGAAAGATAAATGAAAAGGAAAATGAGATAAATCACATATATGGGGGATAGATCCGCACAAGTAAAGACGAAAGATCTGACGAGGTAAGCCTTAGAGACCATACATGAGGTATTTGACTCTCTCACTTTTAGAAGTTGAGAATATGGACCAAACCTTGAAGGGGAGAGCTCTCACTTCTAAAAATTAGAAATTAAGACCCAACTTTCAAGGAGAGAGTTGTAAGTGTGCATGAGTCTATAATTATCATATGGCTTGCCTAAAATAATGAAAAACAAATAGACAAAGAAATATGTGAAATGTTAAAGAATACTTATAGTGTCTGACTTTGCTATGCATTGGTTATTTATATCATTTTATATTTTTATGATTCATACATAAATTCAGATATCATTTATAATTAAATGAAAAATTTTATGTTTCTTATTTCTTACACTATGGTTGTATATTTCATGGAGCTTTAGCTCATTAATAGTGGTTGCATTGCAGAAGAAGGGAATGAGCCCATGAGGCTCTAAGCAGGAGGGTTAAAGCAAGTGAAAGGCCGAAGGGAGCAAGCAAGCAAGGTTGTTGGGTTGAGTATAGTCCATACAAAAGCTAAGATTTATCCTTTCTTTCAAATCAAAGATAAATTTTTTACTTAGAATTTTATTACTAGGCTACTAGCTAATAACCCTAAAGCTAAATCTCATTTTTAAAGAAAATTTGTTCTGATTTTTGTATAAAGAAAAATAGATAGTATTTCATTTTTCAAATGTAAGAAGAAGATAATATTTAACATATAACTTTAGAAATATATTCAGGAAAATTTTAAATTTAAATTATTATTATACTAAAATATAATTATTATTACGTGCAAGAAATTTTATGGTGGTAGAGAGTGTGTTTTATGTCTTTGCTTTGGACAAAAGTTTAGCATGCTCAGAAAAAGTTGTAAAAGACTAGAAAAAATTTATATGGAAAATTCAAAAGACAGAAAAATCACATAGCCACACCCACTTGCAATAATCCACTATTAAGTAGAAGATACATCAATTCTCCTTTTTCACAATTGAATAATATGAGAGTAGTTATTAATTTCTCTTCTAAGGATTACAAAAGGCTGGTGTTCATAGGTAGACAGTTAAAACCCAACAATATGATTAAATATTGACAAAAGTCCAGTGATGGTGGCGACGCTCGTTGGTGGTTGTCATTAGTGATTATCGTCAAAAAATGCAAGAGAGTTATTTAGTTTTCTCAGCTCTTGAACCCCATCCCCTCCATAGAGAATGAAACCAATTTAATTATTGTAATTTATTCATATTATAAACAGTAAAGAATTAAATAAATATAATCTTATTTAAAAACTATAAAAAAATTATAAATAGATTTAGAATAACTTAAAAATAGGATTTAAACTTATTTAAAAAAAAATTAAATATTTTATCTTCATCCACTTGAGTTCCTTATATTATGATCACCATGACCGTCATCCTTACGGTTACTATAATTGCGAAATCTCATAATAAAGAGCATATTAACTTTATTATCTTCAAATCAAATTTTTAGGATCCTAATTCCTAACCATCTTTAATATTTTTTTAGAAAAAAATTTGATGGCCATCGGCCGACTGCAATCACTTCGCCATGTACTATCGCGTGCTGTTTTTACTGGTGTGATCGCGTAAATCGATTTTCCTTGGAATAAAATTCTTGCATTAAATGTTTTTTTATTCTCACCATTTTGTCTCCGCCTTCGGCTTCCGAAATTCTGCACAGTTTCGTCGCAAGAAATAAGAATCTTAAGTAGAAATCAGTGGTTCCTCTCTCTCTCCTAGTCTCTGTTCTACTTCGTCTACTCTAGATTTATAAGGACTATAGTCTCCTATCCAACTTAAGCCCTCGGTGGAACTGAAGTGGAAGTGTACCCACCGTCGGCATAAACAAAATCCACTCTTTGGGGCAAGTGATGCAGTCAGGTAACTCTAAAAAGCAATTTTGCCTTCTCTCAATTTGCATAATCTTTCAGCGCTTTAGCTTTGATCACTCATCTTCTTGATTATATTGCGAGATTATGTTCTTATCTGTAATAATGCTTTACAAAAATCTATTTATGCCTATTTTCCGATTCATAAACGCTTATGAATCAGTGGAATGGAAAATCATTAGGTTATTCAGCAGCTTACCTGAAGAAAATTTTCTTTAGCTTTTCTGCAATTTTCGCAGCTTGCGAGTTTTCTTAGAATCGCGAGGTTTTCGTGTTAAGCTCGTATAATGGGTGTGGTTTGTGAATATGATCTGTTACGTTGGCTACCATTTTGTTTTTCTTGTTGAATGGTTCTCTTCTTGTATGTTGGCATTGCTGCTTTACCATGCTTACAATTTTATTGTTCGAAACACAAAAAAAGGTAATCCTGGTTAGATGAACCTACCAAAATATTAAAGCAGTTTTATTATGGCGGGAGTGAACAATTCCCCTTCTGCAAATTGTAATAAATTATAGTATCATCCAAGGGCATCTCTTGAGATACAGAATATCCATTCTAAATTTGACTTCGTATTGACTGTGAATGCCGACATAGTATTAGTTGCTATCTTCTCAGAACACATGCTCTTATGCCTGTGGATTGCTTCTGAATTTAGTAAATTAGTGCAGATGCCATAAGATTTGTTAAATGGTCATGTAAATTCATATCTCAGACATAACATATTGAAGAGTTCTGGCTTAAATGATATGCTTTTTGCTTCTCAGAATGGAGGTTATAGTTTCGAGTCTGGCATTTGCTTTACTTTGTGCTAATTGTTCTTTGGCTCCTTACATCAAATTTGATCTATAATTAGTCTTATGCCCTCCTTATTTGTAACCAGTCTCATGCCTTTCTTATCTGTAATTGGAGAGTATGATCATCATATTCATATATTTATGCTAGGAAAATAAGTTATCATCATCAATATCTAAATGCGGAAATGCTTTTTTACTATCATCATCATCATCAACATGATGAAGGACGTTGAGTGTCATCATCATTATTATCTAAATATGGAAAGAACTGAGTTGCTATCATCTTCATACAAATATGAAAATGAATTATCTTCATTACTTACGTCTAAAAAATTGAACAAATTATGTTATTTTCATCTTCAACAATAATGGAGCAATCAAGAAATATTTTAAGCATCATGCATGCATTAACATGAAACTCTATTTCCATTTTTGCTCGGCCAAAATTTGGAGGCAAGGGCCATGCAAGGTTTGTCGTTTTTGTCTCTCTCATCCGAAATCTTTTGCAACAACTCTTAGAAAGGCATGATGAAAGATTACAATTAAGATCAATTCTAGTCAAGGAGAATTTGACCAAGGGGTTTTTATCAACTACTTTCTATTATGATAGTGTCTAATTAAGTATTTAAAGTCAAAACCAAAGATATGCAACTGACTCCTCCCTCCATATATTTATGTTATTTTATTTTATTCATGTAATGTTAGAGCTTATAAATATGTACTCCATCATGTGTAAATATAAATTTAATTGAGTTCTGTAATGTGAGTTGCTTGAGAGCAATTTAAAAGGCAGAACTTGATGGTTCTCTCCTAGTAGGAGACATTAGTGAGTCTTATTAGAAACTATATTTATATCTTTTCATGTTATTGTTCTTATGAATAAAAAGATATTATTTCTCCATTATTATGATTTCATCTTTTTTATATAGTATATTCCTCTTTGTTCTTCTATTGGCTAGGCCACCATCTCACTTATATCATGGCCTAGACACTTATAACAAGGCTAAATTTTCAACTAAAGTATATGAAAAATGAAGCCCCCATGCCCTAAACCTCTATCCAAAAATTGAAAAAAGAAGAGTTGGTTCCCCTTAAAAGTAAGTTGATGACTTATGACTCATAGAGTTCATGCCATACTAAAAGGATAAAGAAACATGGTTTAAGATTGGGATTTGGGATGCTAAGAAGCCTTACGTTTAACAAAATCAAAGAATGTAAATGGAGTTTTCATGGGGATGTTTGTGGGCTCTGAAAATTCGCACCCCGACCTCTCCGCGACCCTTTCTTTTTCAAGTTGACAAGGAGAGTTTTTAATGAGTAGGTTCCGAGGCAAACTTTCAGAAGGTAGATTTGGTTTTAGATAAGACATTACCCAAATATTTTGCTCTCGAGGATTTTATGTCTAAGTTCAGGTTTCTTATAGGTGCAAGCTCCTATAGTTAATTACCCCTCCCGATAATGAGAGAGAACTTTCGGTTAAGGCTACTCCTTGAACATATACGGAGTATTTGACGTATAGTAGCAACATAATTTGGTATTTGAAAATTAAAATTTATATCACCGCGCACTTAAACATCGAGGCACCTTTTGATGTAATGGTTGAAATTTCATTTAAGAAACTCTGCAGTTAAGCGTGCTCATCCCAGAACAATTCTGGGATGGGTGACCTACTAGGAAATTACACCAATAGGTCAAAACCGTGAGGCAGGAGATGACAATATCTCGATAATTTAAAATTTGAACTGTTACAAATGGTATCAGAGTAATACACTACCCGGAAGATGGGAGCTAAGTGCAATACAAGATAAAGTGCTACGCTATGGGAGCCATATCTTAAACCCTGTATGAGATAAAGTGATATATGATGGGAGCCACCATTTGAACTTGTAGATACCACCTCTATAATCCTATATGCCTGGTGGATGATTTCAGGATAAAGATATCGACGAGGACGTCATTTATTTAAGTGGGGGAGATTGTGAAACCCCTTAGGTAAAAAGAAAGCTAAACTTTTAAATATCGAGGTGCCTTTTGGTATAATGGTTAGAATTTCATTAAAAAACTCAGTAGTTAAGCGTGGTAATCTTGGAGCAATTCTGGGATGAGTGACCTGTTGGGACGTTACACCAACATGACAAAATCGTGAGGCTCTTAGTCCAAAGAGGATAATATCTCGATAGTTAAGAGTTTGAGCTTTCATCAAGGTTACCTTGTAGACTTGGGATGGATGTTTTCTTTTCATCTCAGCCTCCCATCCCTCTCTCTCCCGATACCAATCACCTTTTAGCAGTCTACCTTATATTCCTCCAACAACCAGCTTGTATCTCTCCATCATGTCCTCCTAGCTTGTTCTACTCGCATACATCACCCTCAACCGAGCCTTCCCTCCACTCCCTACTTATACCGACCACAACTCCTCTCCTCTCTTCTCACATACTCCCCCCCTTACGCTGAACCACCCTTCTCTTTCTCTCCAGCAAATCTTGCACAAAAGTCCCATATGCTAGCAATCTCCAACCGCCTCTCTCCTCCCAGCCAATACAACTCCAACTCCCTCTCCTCTTTGTTTGAACTTTCTTTCGTGCCTCCTACATCCAGTAGCCAACAGTTCTACAACCACCCAACCTATCCAACCATCGCCTTGCTCCCAACTATCGCAACCCCTCCTCTCATCACTCATCCACATCGACCCCCAACACACTAGCTCACACCTAAACCATTAGCATGCTCACCAGCCAACTCTCACATCTTCCTACAAGCCCACAACTCATCAACTACCTGCACAAATCGTGCCCTCCTCACCTCTTCACAGCAACCTATTTAATTTCTCCCACTCTCTCTTTAAGATAGAGGATCCATCTCTCTTTCTCTCTAATATATTCCCACTCAACCCCTGACACACACACTCTCTCTCTCTGTATGTATGTAAATGGGGTAAATAAAGGAAAATAAAATTTAAAAAGTGAGAAGAAAAATGTGTTTTGACCTTTGCTGTTTCTCGTTGACTTTAACACTATCGCGGTTGCCTCGCTTACAAAGGTATAACCCCCACAAACTTAAAATCTCGTTGGCAACACGCGTGATGCAATGAGAAAACCTCAGTTTCATAGCATGGTGGTGAAAATTTTAGTTCAATTCATTCAATTCAAGTTAATTTAATTCAATTGAGTTGATTTGATCCAATTTGTCTCTATTCGATTTAGATTAATGAACCTAAAATTATCCCGAACAAAATAAATAATTAAATTAATTGATTAATTCAATTTAATTGATTCGAGCGGACTCGAACAAAAAACTTGAGTCAAATTTGAATTATTTAGTTAAATTTATTGAATCAAATCATTTCGAGTAAACAAATTATTTTATTTAAAATCAAGACAACTCGATTAAAAAATTGAGTCAATAGTCATAAGCTCCATTATTAAACTTTCTCTTTATTTTGGTGGTAACTCTTATTTATAGGTCTTCCATTGGATATAAATTGCATCCCAATTAATTTGGGTCGATTCAAAGCCAACAAATCCATTAAGTAAAAATATGCTTTACAATGGATGTAAACCTTATCCCAAATTTAACTAGGGCTAGCTTCCATGCCAGCATGCCTACCAATCAAAACCAAATTCATCAAAATAGCCCTATATGCATCTGAGATTTGCTTCTCAAAGTCGAAATGTTGAATTGAAACTTGTAGACAACTAATGGCCATGCGGTGCCCTCTAAGATTTTGTTGGTTATGTTGAGTCCCGCTGAAGTACAAGCATATGTTTTTTTTGCCTCCGAGCTATTAATTAAAAATAATATGTCGAACCCCTTCCAGTAAAAGGTGTCAGCATGAATCTTAAAAGTGCATCTTCTACACTCATTTTCACCTTGATATTCTTGAGATACGTAAGAAGAGGTTAAATAGTTGCTAACTAGGCTCCCTAAGCATCATTGCTTAAAGCCTTGTCACGCGTACAGAATGGGTTTGTTGATTTAATCAGCATGTCAAAACCATATGATTGTTATCAGGTCTATTTTAATTATCCCAAATATTCCTTACTCAACAAGAACATCAAGCCTTTATCTCATTACATGGGGTCGGCTACATGAATTCTTTTTCTCCATTGTGTTCTGTTAAGAGTCAAATTCTCATTTAAATCTAATTAAAAAAAAGTCATTTTTAATACTTTCATACAAAGTCTTTTTAGCTTTACCTCTGTCTTTTTTAACATGGTCCAAATCTAATATTTCCGTCTAAATTGAATTTATATCTAAGCCTCAGATTTGAACTTTAGATTGAGCCTAAACATGTTATTTGATTGAGATTACTCTCCAGTGAGTGGGGTACTTAAGTATGGGAGCTTGCACCATAAAAATTCTTGACCCTAAATCTAAATATGTTAAGACGAACAACTTGAAAAACTACTTATAAGTTTCTCTTCACATCAAGGAGGCTCAAGCGAAGCTGCTGGATTTCCTTGAGCTATCATTTATACATGTAAAATCTTGTTCATTTTAAAGTTACTTTCTAAGCCTTTGGATTTGAAGCACATGTTACTCTTATGGAAATATCTTGAGTTGATATTTCATTGCTCTTTTCGCATGAAAACATTTCCTAGTTCTTGCCAATGTTAATAAAAATGGATTGGACTTCAACCCTTGTAACATCTTTTGATTAGGATTTTATTTTCTATATTTTCTTATTTCTGCAAATAATTGTTTTAGGATTGCCATTGAGGTGTTACTTATTTGGAATTCTGTTTCTAAAATATGTCAATTATTGCTTTTAAAGCTTTTCTCTTGTAATGTTTTCTGGCTAATTTCATAATTGGCCCTTTCCGGTTTGGAAATTAATTTATCCAGATTTTGCTGCATTAGCTCTGGAAGCATAAGTCCTCAATTTTGTTGCATATAAGGTCCTCAAAATAAGATGTGTATTGATACTGTAGTTTAATCATGGTCTTTAAACTTTAAAGCATGCTCCATGGTCTTAATTTAAAAGAAAAAAAGTTTAATTAGTGGTTTTGTTTTATTGTGAGACGCACTTTCATTTCATTTGGCTGATACATGTTTGATACAAGATAGGAGTGTAAGTGAGCCGAGCTTATTTTGTTTTATTGTGAGACTCACTTGCTGTTATGGATACGAGCTCGATAAGGCCTAAACTCGACTCGACTCGACTAGTTTACACCCCTAATACAAGATCATACCTTCACATAATTGATAATTCCAAATTCTGAACGGTTTAATTTTACATGTTATTTTAATCTCTAAATTTAGTGTTTCGTTGTCTATTTGGTGCAAGTAATCACTTTTACGTGCATTGGATTTTGCAGTCCTATAGGAGGTGTGTTCCATCCTTTTGGATGCTTTGAAATTCATGAAATCAAATTAGAGTGGTTCAGAAATAATTCAGGCAGCCGTGATTCTGCAAAATCTCAGCTAAACAATCAATTGTTGTTTGAAAGTAATTGCAATATTCTTTTAGCAAATTGCTAATTTTCCAAAATTATAGATCATTGTGGTTCTTTCTAGGTTCTATTCTTCTCAAATGAAACAAGCAAAGTATATTTTTGATATTTTGTCATTCTATATGATATGATTTAACTTTCCTAAAACTATGATTGAAGCTTCTATGTTTTTGAATAATACATAATAGAATGGTTTAAGTTCTTCATCAATTAATTTTGTTTTATGATATCATATAGAAATGGACTTTCATGAAGGTGTTTTGCATCTTTATGTAATAGGTTTGAGTTTTCACTTTGGCAAATTGCGCCAGGATGCTCAGAACAGATGGCTGAAGAATTCAGAAGTTCTTTTTATATTGCAGAACCATGAGAATCTCCCAATTGAGCAAGAAACTCCTGACAAGCCAACTAGTAATACTTCAATTATTATAAATATATTATTATTATTATTATTGGTTTCTTATTGTCATTCAGCCCCATAGTTCATTCTACCAGTACTAAATATTGCCACTTCTGATTTTTCAATAGGTGGTTCTTTGTTCCTTTTCAACCGCAGGGTTCTTAAGTTTTTCCGGAAGGATGGGCACATGTGGAGGAAAAAGAAGGATGGTAGAGCAGTTGGTGAAGCCCATGAACGACTTAAGGTTTGTACAATATTTGTTTTTTTTAAAAGATGAAAGTAGAGGGCCAATCTGAAAGGTGATGGACCCCATCATGCTGTTACTAAAATTAGTAAGTTTTTCTGCCATGCTGGAACAACATGAATGGATACTTAAATTAGAAAGTTTTTCTGCCACGTTGGAATGTGGGCTCCAAAAATTCCATTTTGGGATGTGTGATCCCGGCCTCTCTGTGTCATCGGTCTATTTATTTTTAAGTGTTTGTGTGACGATGACGATAGAGAGTTTTAACGAGATTAGGTTCTGGGCGAATTTTCAGAATGCAGATTGGGTTTTAGATAAGACACTACCCAGAGATTTCGCCCTCATTTTTGCGAGGACTTTATGATCTAAGTTCTGGTTT